TTTTTGGAATATTTATGTATTTTGAGAAAAGAAAAAAAATTCCAAACAAACCGAAAAGGTCAAATGGTGATAATTGTGCATTTTGTGTATCGTAATCCTGTGTGAGTTTCTCGTTTTCACACAAAAAAAGCCCCTGAGTTGACAACTCTTCAGCGCCATCAGGTACGCAGCTTTAGGGAACCCTTCTTTGGGGGTGAAGTGGTTGTTATTTTACCAGGGTTGTCTCCACAACGTCGTAGTACAACAGACAAAATACCGCCCCAGTAAAAAAAAGTGTAAACTTTGTGCTGAAAAAATGGAATGTATTTGTAAACCAACACTACTTGTGGTGGGTTTAGTCGTTAGTAATGTGCTGTGCATCGTGTACGATGATACTGGAAGTCACTTAAAAGAACAATCAGCTAAAAAACTAAAATAAAAAAGCAAGTGTGTGTGTGCGTGTGTAGAAAATGTGCAGAGACCCACGGGTCGTGTGTTGTGTCCAAGTGATCTCTTCTTCAGGGGCTCCCACATTTGCAATCACAGAAAGTGTTTTGTGTGTGTGTGTGTGTGTGTGTGTGTGTGTGTGTGTGTGTGTGTGTGTGTAAAGAAAACTAGGTAATATTACAGGAAAATAATGTGTGAATTCAAAAACACTGAGTTTGACACATGGGCACTTTAACAACAAATTAAAACAAAAAGACATTGTCTGGCATCTGTATGATTAACAGACTTTCACCAATATGAGGCATCCAAACTAAACCAAAGTGAAACATCCATTAATTAATTAATGAAAATAAATTCACAGAAAGTCAACATGACGTACCGTGGAAGTTGAACACTAAATTTTTCTTTAACACAGGAAAAAAAAAGTCTACATACAGTGACCCTTAAGAGAAAAAAAGTTTTTATCCGCAGAAGTTGAAATTACAATTAACGCAGAGGAAATTTTTTGACTTAAAGTGTTTTTAAATTTACTTAGAAATGACCCTCAAACCGTCACACTGATCAAACTGATTTTTAGTCCTCTTTAAAAATGTAGTACACCGAAGACCCCCCCGACACAGATGACATTACAACATAATCTACAAAAAACCCAAAGTTTTGCCTGGGTTCTGTTAGTTAAACTTCTATAGATTCAATGGTATAAAATATAGGTAATCTAAGTGTGCATTTAAACCACAGATTGTCTATTTGTGAATCAGTTCTAAAAAAGTTGACTCATGTAGGTAGTCATTTCTCTAAACAGAGCAAATGTACCTTTTTATTGTGCCATCAATAGTTCAAAAAAAAAGGTAAATACACTGGATAGTTTTGTAAATGAAAAGAAAATATAGTTTTAAATAGCCTTGGTGTAAATCTTCACACTGCCCGCAAAATGTAGAGATCATTACAGAGCACTGAGAGGGGTTTAACTGGTCAGACTTTCAAAAGTGTTGGAAAGTGGTCTGTAGCTTTTTTTTTTTTTTTTTAAAGAAGCCAACATATTGCTAATGGCACCAAATAGCACAGCTGTGTGCCAATCCCTGTATTCAACTTTCAAGTGAACTTTACTGAGAGAGGTAAAAAGAAAGAAACATTTAAAAAAAAAAAAAAAAAAAAAAAAAAATCAAAGCTAAATTAAAAATAAGAAATCCCACAGGTTTTTAAAACATTCGCAAAAGAAGAAAAAAATAAACATTCGCAAAACAAAAAAAAGGTCTTTTAAATGAATTCAACGCAGGTAAGTTTTCACATTGATTTGCTTGACCTCTCTCCCACCTGTCACATTTCTATACAGAACAAAAAAAACAAAAAACAAAAATGAATATACATGCAGAAAAATCAGGTTGAGCTAAGGTCAAGGGTCAGTGGGTGGCCAGGTATTGGTCAGGCGAGCTTAGAGAGACATCACAGACAATGGTGGGATGATGAGGCCAGGAGTTTGGCTTGGCTTTCAACATCATGAAGACATGCTAGGCTAATGATGAGCAAACAGGCATGGAGATTTGTTCTAAAAAAGGAACAAAAACACGAAAGGAAGAGAGAGAGAGAGAGAGAGAGAGAGAGAGAGAGAGAGAGAGAGAGAGAGAAGACAAAGAGGAGAGAAAGTTAGGGGCACAGCACAAGAATCGTTTAGCCATGAGGCACAAAAAAAACAACAAAAACAATGCCAATCACCACATACAGTAAGGACAGTGCGGTAAACATTTCCCCCCCCTCTCTCCCCCGACACACAAAAACACAGATTTAAGGAAGTGACACCACCAGGACATATGGCAGAGACTCCAACATGCACAAACTGTATACTTGGCACCCAAAGAGATCCATCTAGAGCCAGCCCCCCTGGTGGGAGACTTGGAGGATGGATGGAATGACTGGAAGAGGTTGTTAATAGAGAAAAGAGAGAGGTAGCCTAGCTCAACATGGCTTAGATAATGACGGAGAAAGAGTGGGGGACAGGAGGAGGAAAGACAGGGGAGGGAGAGCAAAGATCGAAGAGTGCAAAAGATTTTCACATTAAGAATGACAAACGGACGAGACAAGACTACAAGTGAAAAGCCAAACGCAGGTTGAAGCTCTGGGCTCGGGGTCTATGTGGCCTGGCTTCAGCCCTTCTACTGATCCTTAGTCAACCCGTCTAGCTTGACCTGAAGGCAATGAAATGGCATGGAAACACACCTGATGCTCTCCACTAATTACAGTGACACAAAATACCTCCAGCGAAACACTGACTCCAGTGATAGTCATAAATAATCATATACATTAAAATATTTAATCCGACTCAAAGTACATGATAAAACCGCAGGAATGAAATACAGTAAAATATGGAAAGATCATTGCAACCATGTTTTTGTTTTTTTTGTTTTTTAGGAATAGAGCGAGTCTCCCTCCTGTGGTGGGCTCCTTTCCCCCTGCCCCACTGAGTCTCTGCTGTGGTGACCTTGGCTGGAGGGTGAACTTACCCTAGCAGTGCTAGCATTAGAGCTGGGGAGGGGGGGAAGGCCCCGGGGCTAGGATCAGTAGGGTTTGCTGTCGTTCTTGGAGCGCTTCAGCTGAACCTTCAGCCTCTTCATTCCGATCTGGAATCCATTCATGGCCTGGATGGCAGCTTGCGCAGACACAGGATTGTCATAGCTGACGAACCCTGAGAACAAAGACGGCGGAGGACACGCGTTACACATACATTTAGAGAGCGATTAAACACACTCCCTTCACTGTTAACAAAATGCTTCAACCTTACTACTGTCTGTCACAATCTCTGTTTTTAAACTACAGCTCTGGTCTGAAGTTAAGGCGACCTTGCCTTGTACTTCAAGGGTACGGTGCACACATCACAGACTTTGCTCAGATATTTTTTGGTCTAGAGGACAGAGTTATTGAATTTTCTTTGGAAAACGCAAAAGCCACTGCTGTGAAAACTGAAGACTGGGACCAGAAACAACCAAGAGTATAAAAAAAGGATACTGTACATATTATTTAATAAAAAAAAAAAAAAATTTGTGTTACATGGTGCTAACGCAACAGCGGCCTGTACTATGAAACAAGTTCAACATATCCAGGGTATCTTTGTCTTATATGGCTGCACTGGTCATCTAGATAATAACCAGTGTCATAAAGCTGGTTAATAACTAGCTCAGTCAACTCTGGGTTGCAGATTCATCAGAGTGCCATCTGAACGATAGCCTATAATCTACAAACATGAAGGAACACTGGAAATCATTTCCAAATATTAAAAATAGGCCAAGGCTTAATACTTGTGGAGGTATTATTATATGATTTATGTATAGAGTGAGTATTTTTTGCTCTTAAGTTGGATGATGCAGAATATATCTACGCCACATAAAAACACTTAAAAGAAACGCCAGACTGTTTCTACGTCAAAGGTTAAGAGTGGAAATGTAACAACCGATGATGTCTATCTGACTGAAATGTTGCATTTATAATCACAGGAGCCAATTAACAGCGTGTGGATAATATTTCTAATGAAAGACACTTTCAATTTTAATTCCAGTTCTCATCACATAGGTGCCTCATGTTTTTCTGAGCTGCAGGAATCAGTCTGAAATGATAAATGTATTCTAATGACCTAGAAAAATACATGTCAGGACTATGTCCAAACAATTTTTTAAGTGATCTGATTCGTCAGTGGTCTGGGTGTTGACAGGTTATGATCAGATACTCAAAAGTTAACTCGCTCCGGAGCAGAAAAGCGGTCCAGCGCAAGTTAATAAATCCTGGTAAAAAGTGAACCAGCTTTGTAGTACTGAAAATCCAGAGTTAACCCTGAAGTTACCTCACTAACCTCAAATCCCGCTTTGTATTACAGGCTTTAGGTCTGCCTAAAGTCACAATACCGGCTCAGTAGTGAATAAAACTGATACGAAAACATACTGATGATTATTTTGAAAAGCTGGTTACATTACCTATCAAGTAAAAAAAAACAATCTCTTGCTGGTTACAGCTTCTTCTATGCGAGGACCAGCTGTTGTTCTCTGTAATATAATCTGTCCATATGACCTACACAATTTTAAGTTGCAATACTGCACTCATTTTATATTAAATACATTAAAAAACATTTATAGTTTGAGCAGTAATGACAGCAATCCTGATTCTTTAGTCAATTAAACAAAAGACACAAATACGGAAGGGCAATGCCACAGAATGAGCATGATAAATGAGAGGAAAGGACTAATGTCACAGGTTCACTATATTGAAGACAAAGTGCGTACAGCTTTATTTCAATGGGAGGCAGGGTGGCACCATAACAGCCTAATATCCACAACACAACTCAGCAGGTATATCAATCAGAATAAAGAGGCCTTCAGAGACCGGCGGTGCCAACACACTTACCAAAGCACTTGCTCAGATTGGTCTGTTTGTCAATGAAGACTTTGGCAGAGACCACATTTCCAAAAGGCATAAACATCTGCAGAAGATCCTGGTCCCCGAACTCCTGGGGCAGGTGGTAGATGAACAGGTTGGCGCCCTCTGGCCCTACTCCATTAGGAGAGAAAATAAGATACTCAAGTCAAATTTATAACAACAACAACACACACAGACACAATTACAGAATCAGTGAGTTGATCTTATTTAAAAAAACAGAACCAAAAGTGATCACGCTCACCCTCCTTCTGGCTGCCTGCCATGCTCTGCTGCAGGAGAGACTGGCCATAGAGGGAGGGCAGGGCGGAGGCTGTGTACTGCTGCATCCCTGAGTAGGCCTGGGTCAGAGCGTCCATGGAGCTGGCTGCTGACCCGTTGGCCATGGAGGCTCCCAGGCCTCCATTCATGCCCCCCATACCTATGAAACAGAGACAAACACGTGTTGTACACTCATAACTCAAACAATTTACCACTTTCAGAAAATTATTTTGAAGAATTACATGTGTTTGGCCACCAGGGGGCAGACAAACAAGGCTGAGGTTGCAGTTAGTGATGTCTCACTGAACTTGATTAAATTGAAATGCAATTCTAATATTCCTCCTCCCTGATGTAAAGTCTAAATTGAGTCTGCAAAATATTAAAAACACCTCTTTTAAAACTGCAAACTACAGCCTCACCAATAAACATATACAGTACAGGCCAAAAGTTTGGACACACTTTCTCATTCAATGCGTTTTCTTTATTTTCATGACTATTTACATTGTAGATTCTCACTGAAGGCATCAAAACTATGAATGAACACATGTGGAGTTATGTACTTAACAAAAAACAGTGAAATAACTGAAAACATGTTTTATATTCTAGTTTCTTCAAAATAGCCACCCTTTGCTCTGATTACTGCTTTGCACACTCTTGGCATTCTCTCCATGAGCTTCAAGAGGTAGTCACCTGCAATGGTTTTCCAACCGTCTTGAAGGAGTTCCCAGAGGTGTTTAGCACTTGTTGGCCCCTTTGCCTTCACTCTGCGGTCCAGCTCACCCCAAACCATCTC